AGCCAGCAATATTATAAAATAGAGATTATAAGTTCTTCGTAGCTCATCATTCTTTTTAATATTTGATGGAATCTCTCATTCTTTAATTTGTTCTTTAATTAATCATTCTACAGAAACAAATATAAAAAATTTGAGAATAAATATATAAATTTATGAATATTCGTCATCTGATCATCTGATATATTTTCTATTCCATACTCGGTTTTGAATTTTTTCAGAAAAATATTTGGAACTATAATACCGTTTTGAAATTTTTAAAAAACATGAAATCTCTGCGTTATCCTAAGATATTTTCATACATTTTTTATACTCTTTTTTAACGAATCAAATTTGCATCAGTGGGTGTTTTTCTTTTACACAGATCAAATGCATTAACTCTCCGGAATGGTCAGATTTCCACTTGGACATGTTGTCCTTCCCGAGATTTTGCATTAACCCTCCGGAATGGCCAGTTATGTACTTGGATGCCTTGCCGAAATTTAAGACAATCGTCGAATCAATGCTCATCTACAAGTGTGATTTACCGACTAACAACAGTTTAGGCGAAATCACGCAAACGCTAGGAATCACCCGCGTGAAAAAGCTGGTCTTTCAATCGTACAAGAATTTGAGCTTCGCCCTGGTCAAGCATCATTTGGATGACCTTAAAAATTTGAAGTCTCTGTCCTTACCGAACAACAATTTGTCCTACGCAGATAAAGATCTATTAGCTGGTCTAGTCAACTTAACCGACCTCAACTTGCGCGACAACAATTTACACCAAGTCACAGGATTTTTCAACTACACTCCCGGACTGCAGTTTCTCGAATTGGGCGACAATGCTCTGCAATCGATAGAACCAGGCACATTCGACAATCTGAAAAATCTGTTAATTCTCAAATTATCGGTAAATCATTTAACCAAGTTACCGGAAGACATCTTCGCGAAGCTCGAAAACCTCGAGGTTCTCAACTTATCTCGAAACAATTTCACACATTTACCAAGGAATCTGTTACGAAATAACACGAAACTACGCACTTTCACTCTGTT